TGGTGGACTCAACAACATATTCAGCTATGCTCCCATTGATGCGGCTGGCGGCGTTGGGCATTACCACATTGGAGAGGGAGTACTGCAGGGTCACCAGGGTGCAGCGAGCAAGTACAATCGAGTGGTTCAACATCGGGTACTCGAACCTTGGCTACAACAACGGACAGCGACATCATATGGAGCTCAGCTACTATACGTCAGCCCGTACCATGAGGAGGCTGTCGACCTACCCACCACGGCATTCATGGATGATGTGGCCCACAAGGTCATGTGTGAATCGAGTGGCTTACTTGCGCCCCGCGTGGAGGAGGCAGATAGACAGCTGGCCGAGCAGTTGTGGACTGTGGGTAGCTCGCTGAACCATGCCAAGCAGCAGATCGTGCCCAGGTTTGTGGGCCGAGGAGCTCTTCGGCGATGGCGAATCTGGCAGGCACAGTTGCACCTGCGGCCATGTATCTTGGAGTGCAGCACTCGCATAACAGTCAGAGCGCACATCAGCGCGCAATGTGTTTGAAGAATATGCGCTGCGCCTGGCACAGCATGGGCAGATTTTGGTTTGCTCGCAGTGTTCCTTCTCACCTCAAAAAGCTACCCTTCCAATGTCGAGTTCAGGCAGCAGGGCTCAGCGGGCTCGAAGCATGTATTCGTACTGCCGGTGAGTATCGTCTGTTGGATTATATTGTCTTGGGATGGGGGAAGAAAATCTTGGGCGGTCGTGCAGTTATCAAAGTATCACAAGCTGGCGAAACAGACAAACACAGAGCTCTTCCTCCCTTCAAAGTATGGCGACCCTTGGGACGTGTGCCGTCTCGATTGGAGTTGGGAATTCGACGCCTGAGTTGGCTGCAATCGCTTGCAGCCCACCGAGAAACGAATATGCAGATGCTGGCCGCCATGTTTGAGCGCGTCCCAGCTGAGCAAAGTAACACGGTGGAGGATGGACGGCGGGTGCGCGATGAAAACAATGAATATCATGTGAATTCCTGGGCGATGCAGGCATACATTGACATACTGCCAGTGGAACACATGGGGAGAGGAGATGCGCTACTACATAGGCTAGCAGGGAAGCCCTTTCGAGTTTTGAAGACGAGATTTGAGAAGATTTCATCAAAATGAATTTCGGAAGCCTTCGGAAGCGTTACTGGGAGGGCAAGCTAGGCGAAGGGTACGACTACGTAGGACATGTTGAGGAGGGAGCTAGTACAACCCCGAGGAGGTGGACTTGAGGATGGTGGAGGACATGGAGGAGTGGGAGACGGAGGAGAAGTACAAGAAAACGGCCATGAAGATCCCGTAGAGCCGCCTGTTGCCCCACCAGCGCCCGTCTGGACCTGCGAGGAACCCCAAGAAGATGGGACCCCATGTGGCCTCGTGTTCCAGGACCGCAGTGCTTGGCATGCCCACATCAGGTTCTCCAAAGGGGGCACCCATGAACATAGAGCCCTCAGTAATGTCCTCACAGTCGCCAACCAATGCCCATGGTGCATGTCCGTATTGTCCAATGTGTCCATTGCTCGACAGCATGTTCGACGGCTCGTCATGTCCCATAGGCGTCAGGCTGGCAGAGGACACTATGAGTATCCAATCGCCCAGCCAACACCAACACTCGTCGTTGCCCTCCATGCGGCCGCGACAATGATAGTTTGGAGGCTCTTCAGGTTCACACTCGCAGTCACGTCACACTGGAGTATGCTGCATGTTGTACTGTTGACAGGCCGCGAGATGAGCTGGATGGCGAGAGATCTGGGACCGATGCTGGGGGAAGCGAAGAAACGCTTGGCCAACTCTCAGGACAACTTCTCAGCTGGTGGCTACGGAAAGGATCGACCGCGACGACAGCGCAAACAGCAAGCAGCCCCGCAGGGGGGCCATGGGATCAGCAGCAGCAGCAGCCACACTCACCGAGATGGAGATCGAGGGCTCCGATTCAGAGGACGAGACGGCGCTGAATACGGTCAAGGGTCTTCTCGATGTACGACAATGGGCCCGAGCCTTGGAAAGATGTCTTCTGGCTACACACCTTGTGCCGAAGGAACGCGCGATCAGCCCTCATGCAGAAGGAGCAGCGCAGATGTACATTAAAAAAAAGCTCCAGGACGATCCCAAAGCCCAGCTGGGCCTACCGTCGTTGATGGTTGCTATGGCAGTCTTGGAGGCTCTTCTGGCGCAGCAGGTAGTTCAGGACAGTGTACAACTCAGAGCTGAGTACCAGGAGCTCAAGGGCCTCGTTCAGAGAATCAAGGGGGAGAAGATGGAAATCGCAGCAGAATATATCAAGTACTGGAAGGCCGAAACTACGTTCGCCAAGGAGGGGGAGAAGATTCGAGTGCGACACACCTCCTACATCCATTGTTTCGTGCCCATCGGAGAACCCCCGAATATGCTGATCGTGCCTGCCAACCTCTTGATCAGCAAGCTGCTGACACTCCTGGGGTCGGAGATCAAGCAAGGCCCCCCGCCGCGGGCCACCACAGAGAGGAAGCTTCAGAACTATTTAGAGAAGATGCTCAAGGGACGTAGTCACAGGAAGCACGGAGGATCCAGACGGTAGGTAGAGCCCAGCTATTGCAGTCATGTTCAGAGAAAAGTAGAGGTCGTTTCTCGGGATCGTGGGACCCACCAGAGGCTCCAACCAAGAGAAGGCCCCGAGGCAAAGGGAAGGGCAAGGGTAGTAAATAGTTGAAATAACTCGGGTTTGTTGTGTGGCTTCTCCCCTTCTCTCTCTCTGCCACCTCGGGCCTCCGTGCTGTGCCTCTGCGGTGCTGTGGTGTGCCTTGGTGGTGGCCTCCTCCCCTTCCTCCCTCTCCGTGGGTGTCGTGCTGAGGTGTTTTTCTTCTCACACCTGGGCTAACGCTGAATGGCACTTACGGGATGATTACGTTAGGCCTCCCGGCCCTGACGTGATCCAGGGTGTCCCCATAACTGGCTAACCAGTCGTGGCGGGGTTACCGAGTTTTGAATCGTGTTCGAGTGTTTTCCAGTCTTGATGCGCACAGCGGTCGAAGTGCAATCTACAGGGAGGATGCATCAGAGACCACAGTCTGATAGCCAGCCAGCAGACTCCTCCTCGTCCTCCGCACTGGTCCTCCTCCTCCTCCGCCTCCTCCTCCTCCTCTCAGAGGTGGCGTCGCGACCAGGCCTGGCCCCAGAGACGGCCCGTGTCCAGACCGCCGAGCCGCCGGCGCACCAAGTGGCGCGGGCCCGCTCGGGGCCCGTGGCCCAAGGCGGGCGAGAGGCCCGCCTGTTGCGCAATCAATGTGTGGGGGTATGCCTCGGACCAACAAACAAGGAGAGATCGATGATCAAAGACACACCAACACACGCGCACACACAAACACATACGCATGCGCGCACGCACACGCACACGCACAGATGCATCCACGCTCGCACGCACAGACGCGCGCGCACTCAAACGAACCCAGGGCGCAGCGCGCCCTCCAGGAAAACGCGCCCGCGCACAAGAAAACAGGGGAGGAGATCGACTGCAGAATTGATTGACCCCATGTGTACCATGCTCCGTAGATCTGGCGAGCATCCTACGAATGTTGTAGATCTGACGGGGAGAAACAATTCTGGGGTGAATCAATCCTGTAGTCGATCCCTACTCGACTGGCGCACCCAGCACTGGGCGTCTCGAAAAAAACGAGACCAAAGATTCTCATGGGTGATCAGCCTTTGGGAGCCATTACCTGGCCTCGGGGCCGTGAAGAAACGGCTCGGGACGAAAAACAGGCCCCAAAGAAGTGGTCGAGAGGTCGGGGGCCCGTCTCGGAAAAATCGAGACAGCCGATGTCTGGGCAGGCTGCATACGTGCTGGCTAATCTACTTGGGCGTGGCGGATTCGCAGTACCTTCGTTCAGGGCCGCCCTCTGAGGGCCAGTGGGGGCGCCATCCCCGCGACTGGCTGGAAGAACAAGGGGAGGGGAGGAGGGGGAGGGAGGGAAGAAGGGAGGGAGGGAGGGGGGAGGAGGAGGAGGAACGACACCGGGCAAGGCCGTACTGAAGGGACCTGGCTCTGGCAAGCGCTGACGAGGGACCTGGGACTTGAACCCCAAAGTCTGGGGGGCCCACTGTGTGACGGGGGTGTGGGCCCTCTCGGGTACCCCCAGGCCGAGGCAGGGAGGGAGGAAGCAGGACGACCAGGAGAAGGAGGAGAAGGAGGAGGAGGAGGAGGAGGAGAGGAGGGGAGGCGGAGGGGCGAGGCGGGAGGGGGAGGGAGGCGGAGGAGGAGGAGGAGAGGAGGAGGAAGGAGGAGGAGGAGGAGGAGGAGGAGGAGGGAGGAGGAGGGGGGGAGGAGGAGGAAGGAGGAGGAGGGAGGAGAGGAGGTGGAGGAGGAGGGGAGGAGGGAGGAGGAGAGGGAGGAGGAGGGAGGAGGAGGAGAGGAGGAGGTGGGGAGAGGAGGAGGAGGAGGGGAGGGTGGAGGAGGAGGGCGGGGGAGGAGGGGGAGGGAGGGGGAGAGGAGGGAGGGGAGGGGGAGGGGAGGGGAGGGAGGGGAGGAGCGGAGGGGAGGCGAGGGGAGGGAGGGAGGGGGGGAGGGGAGGGAGGAGGGGGAGGGACAGGGGAGAGGAGGAGGAGGAGGAGGAAGAGGAGGGGAGGAGGACGGAGGAACGACACCGGGCCAGGCCGTACTGAAGGGATCTGGCTCTGGCAAGGGCTGACGAGGGACCCAGGACGTGAACCCCAAAGTTCGGGGGGACGGGGTTGGAGCCCGCTCGGGTGCCGCCAGGCCGAGGCAGGGAGGGGGGAAACAGGACGACCAGGAGAAGGAGGAGGAGGAGGGAGGCGGAGGGAGGCGGAGGGACGAGGCGGGAAGGGGGAGGGAGGAGAAGGGAGGAGGAGGGAGGAGGAGGAGGGAGGAGGAGGGGGGATGAGGAGGAGGAGGAGGAGGAGGAGGAGGAGGAGGAGTAGGAGGAGGACGATGAGGTAGAGACTGAGGAGGGAGGAGGGAGGAGGAGGAAGAGGCGGAGGAGGAAGGGAGGGAGGGAGGAAGGGAGGGAGGCCCCCCTCCTGGGCCAGGCGCGCGTGCTCGAGGGCCAGCGGCGCCGACCGCGCGTGGAGCGCCGCCAGAGGGGCCTTCCCAGCGAAGGGCGGCGGGGATCGAGGGATCGAGGTCGATTCTCTTCGACCCTCTTCGAACCTCCTCGACGCTCCTCGACTTTCTTGGACCCTTCTCGACCCCCTTCAGTCCCCGTCCACCCTCCTCGACACTCCTCGACCCTCCTCGACAACCTTCGATCCTCCCCAATCCCCAATTTCGACCCCCTGTCGATCCTCGTGGGTCCCCTCCGACCCCCAACGACCCCCCTCGACCCTCGTCGATCCCATGTGTATAGATGTGTGAAGATAGATAACTATATATAAACAAATGGATGCATCTACATATATATATATATATATATATATATGTCCGCTGGCCCCCTCAGGGGGCGCAAGGTTGCAAAGGTGTGTGCGGTCTGCTGTGATATGCTATGTGTTGTCATGTTTTGTTTGGCTTTTTGTCTCTCCAGTCCTGTTTCCTGCCTCCTGTTTACTGTCTGGTAAGGGGCCCCGCCGCGTCACCAAACAGCCAACGGGGGGGGAAACCTCACATCCAGGCTGCTCCAGGCCACCCCAGGATTCTCATGGTGACGCCACCATGCGGCCAGAACGGCCCGAGAGGCCTCCAAGATCGCCCGACGAGGCTCCGAAGAGAACCTCAGGAGGCCAAGACGGCCCAAGATGGATCCCAAGATGTCCCACGATGGCCTCAAGACGGCCCAAGACGGCCCAAGAGGCCTGCAAGAGGCCTCCCAAGCGGGCCCAACGAAGCAGCACTCAACAATGTTCCCAAAGTTTTGGAAGGTTTTTGGCCGTCTCTCCTTTTCGGCTTTCCGACGGTCCCAAGACGGCCGAAGAGGGCCTCAACCAAGACAGTCCAAGTCGACCTTTCCGCCCCGAGAGGGCCCCTGGAGGCCCCAAGGTGGTCCCCACAGGTCCCAAGTACCCCCAAGAGGTCCCCAAGAGGAGAGTCCCAAGAGACCCAAAATGTTGTTTCCAAGAGGCCCCAAGGAGACCCCAGAGAGGCCCCAAGGAGACCCCCGAGAAGCCCCCAAGAGGCCCCCAAGAGGTCCCAAGGACACCCCCAAGAGGCCCCAAGAAGACCCCCGCGCAGCCGCCCGCACTAGTAAGAGGGGGTTTGCGGCAGAGTGCGAAGCTCTCAAGATAGACATGTATGTGTGTATACCTACATGTGTGTGTTGTATGGGCCTAACTGTATGTATATGTATACATGTATGCGTACGAGTGTATGTATGTATGCATGCATGTATGTATGTATGTATGTAGGTATGGATGTGTGTATGTATGTATGTGTGTATGCATGTATGTACGTTTGTGTTTTTGTGTATGACTGACTGGATGTATGTCTACTCGCATGCGCGTGTATAAACATGATTATACATGTGTGCATGTCGGTATGCGTGTATGATTGTATGGATGTATGAATGTGTGTGCGTGTGCATGTCTGTCTGTGTGTCTGTATGTGTGCATGTCTGTATGCATGCACGCATGCATGTATGTGTGTATGCGTGTATGCATGTTTGTATGTATGCATGCATGCATGCATGTACGTGTGTATGCAGGTATGCATGCATGCCTGACTGCATGTTTGCATGTATGTGAGTGTGTTTGTTTGCATGGATGGTTGTATGTGTGTATGCAGGTACGTATGTATGTACGCAATCATGTACGTGTATGCACGGTTGTATGTGCTTACGTATGTACGTATGCACGCATACATGCATGACTGCATGCTTGCATGTATGGCAGTGTGTATGTATGCATGACTGTGTGTATGTGTGGTTGCAGGTAGGTATGTATGTGTGTATAATTGTATGTATGTGTGTATGTATGTATGTATGTGTGCCGATGGTTGAGTGCGTACGTGCGTATACGTATGCATACGTATACATGTACGTGTGCGTACGGATGCCTGTATGTATATATGTACGTATGTGTATGCATGTGTAAGTATGTATGTACGTATGTGTGTATGTATGTACACATGAAGATGTATGTAACTACAACTATATGTATGTGTGTATGGACGGATGGATGTGCATGCATGCGTACATGTATGCGAGTGTATGCATGCATGTAGATGTGCATGGATACGTGTTCGCGGAAGCATATGCGATACAAAAGCCAAGGACGAACGAAAAGAGATGAGGGATCTACAAGAAAGCGAGCGGACATACTACTAAAAAAGGCTTTAGAGGAGAGCACAAAAAATAGGATGCGTAGCAATTGCAATTAAAACTAATACTAGAGCGATGGAGAGAGAGAGGGCAGCATAACGGGGGAGAGAGGGGGAGAGAGCAAGGGCAAAAGAGAGAGAGAGAGAGAAGAAACAAAAAGAAGCAGGGACGAGAACTGAGATTTAGAGAAGAGACTGGGATATATTAGGATGTACAGATGCATAGAGTGAGAAAGAGCGGGAGAGGAGACAGAAAGGGGGGCGACATGTAGATACGTATGAAGAGAGACAGAAGAGAAAGGTCGTGGCAGGGGTGGAAAACACATACAAAGAGAGAGAGAGAGAGACAGAGAGAGAGAGAGACCATAAACTGCAAGAGCATACGCTATGATGGACAAGGAAAAAAACAAAAAAGAAAAGGAGAACATACAGTGAAAGGGAAGATAATGGAGAAAAGGCACAGAGAAAAAAGGTACAGCCAGGGAGAGGAGAGAGAGAGAGGGGAACGCGATAGCGAAAATGCTGAAAAGAGCGAGAAAGGGGATGAGCTGTAGGGGAGGGAGACACACACATATATCAACATGGAGAAAGAGACACCAAACAAAAGAGGAGGGAGAGAGAAAGAAGAGTGAGAGAGAGATAGATAAAACAAAATAAGTGAACGCCCTGGGAGAGAATAGCGAGAGAAGAGCGGCAAGAGAAAGAGAGAGGAAGGGAACTGAGGTAATGGGGAACGAAAACAACTCATCCCCACCGTCCTCGTCCAGCGTTCACCTCGCCCATCGTCCTCGTCATGAAGACGAGGACGCTGGAGAAGGAGAAAAAAGGATGAAGAGGATAAGGATAGGACGGTGGAACACGGTGAGGACAAGGATGGGGGGAAAGCGAGATCCTCCTCCCTCCCCAGGCTGTTCCCCGCCCTTTTTTTCCCATCAGTATCATCATCAACCTTCACCATGTACAGTGTCAGAATGACTGCAGTGAGTAAGATCGTCGTTGTTATCGCCGTCGTTAACGTAGATGCAGACGCCGTCGACACCATCACCACCATTAAAGTCACCGTCGTCATCAACAACCGTGCCCATAAGCATCACCAAAGCTAGCACATCGCCGCCACCATCGTCATAATCAGCATCATCGATATCATCATCGATATCATAAAGATCGTTCCTCTAATATTGAACGTCGGAGTTTAACTGTGCTCGTCTTTGGGGGCTTCTAATACAAACCTCAGCATTATCACAACCCCCCCGGCCACACACACACACACACCACCCCACGTTCTCCTCCCCCGGTTTCCTCCCGCACCCCCCCTGCAAAACACTTGTCGTCCCAGGTGTTTCCCAAATGCCGCCCTGCCCTTGAACCTGCTCCCGACGTGGAAAAGCCCCACCCTCCTCCTCCCCCATCCCATCCTCCCTCTGTCCTCTTACCCCCGCCCACCCATATCGTTCCTCGTCACGAACATTCGTTTTCAAAATGTACGATTAAGGGCGAGTCTTTTTCAAAATGCGGCTCTCGCCTTAGCGCCGCGCACATTCGTTCTCAAAATGAACAAGAGCTTCACGGATTGAGGGCGGGTCGTTTTCAAAATGCGGCTCTCGCCTTAGCGCCGCGCACACTCGCTGTCAAAATGTGCAAGATCTTCGCGGTTTGAGGGCGGCTCCTTTTCAAAATGTGGCTGCCGCCGTAGCGCCGCGCACATTCTTGTTAAACAAGTGTAAGAGTTTCGCAGATTCCCGTGATGGACGCATCATAAAAAATAATTTGAAAAGGTTCACGGTTTCGAGGGCGCAACAGTTACGATGATTCGCGGCGTTGAAGTCCCAGGAATGGCGTTCTGGTACGATTGAGGACCGTCAAGACGCATCAGTCAAGTTTTTCCGTGGCGTTTGACTACCGACAATAATGGTTTGGCATGCTTCAGGGTTTTCTGACAGTTGACTTTCACCGAGGCAGGTCACCCTTGTGGAAATTAACCGTTGCAAGGGCCTATGAAAAGGGAGCTTGGGGGGAGGGGTTATTCCGACATCGTTGGTGACTGTTGGGTTTACACTGGTCCTCCTCCTCCTCCTTCTCGTCCTCCTCCTCGTCCCCGCCCTCCTCACCAATATCATCATCATCACCACCACCACCATCATCACCATCATCATCAGCAGCATCATCATCATAAGCATCATCATCCTCAGCATCAGCAGCATCATCAACATCATCCTGCTCGCCCTCCTCCATGCCCCACCCCACCCTTGCATATCGTCAGCCTGCGCCCTGCGTCACTTCCCCCCGTCTGAGGCCGTGAAACTGCGAAAACGATACACTCAATCACAGAACGCCAGCTTGACAGCATCGCCGTGGGCAGGCGGCATGTTAAGCTGCTCCCCTCTGCACGGAATCGCGTGGCTCCTGACCACCTCCCCAAACTCTTCCCCACCTCCTCCCTCCCCGACCGTCCGTGAATTCATCCGTTTTCTCCATCCGTTCCCTCCCCCCGCCCTCCCCCCCTCCCCTTCCCCCTCCTCGGCCTTTTCCCCCTCCCCCATCCTCCTCACCCCCTCCTCGCCCGTCGCCTCCCTCTCCCCCCCCCCTCCACCTCGCAATACGCAGCTGATGGCATTGGGTCAAGCGTTCTGAGCTGCCAAATCCTCCTCCCCCTCTTCCACCTCCTCCTCCTCCTCCGCCTCCTCTATTCCCTTTCCATATAAATAGCTTCCCTCGGTCGCACCCCGAGGCCAGTTTGTGGGGGGGCGGGCTGGGCGCCTCTGCGCCACGCGCATTCTTTTTAACATTTGCAAGAGTTTCACGAATTGAATGTCGTTCTTTTTCAACCTGTGGCTTTCGC